TCCGTCCTCTCTCTTTTTTTTTATTTCTAAAACAATAACTTATCAAATACGTTATCTTAAAATCGGCAGTTATTGACTAGTAATAAAGATGTATCTGGCCAATAGCTAGTACTTTTTTTTTCAATAGAATTTATAAAGTAATTAAAATGCCTAACTCAGGCCGTCATCGAGCAAAGAAGAACAAACTTCAGAAAATGGACAAATAATTCAAAACTGAAAAAAACCTATTGATCAAAAATTTAAAAGTTTGACGGTTTGCTCACGATTTGTGAAAAAGGTCTCTTGGACGGCTTTTTAATTTTATTGTTTTTTGTGTCAGCGTAAAGTCAGCGTAATGTCAGCGTAAACTGCACGCATTTGCATTGTTCCGCTTTTCCATCGAAGTGATCTGTACATCTCCATGGCATCGACTCCGGAGAATCGCGCCAAAAGGCCATCACTCGAAAGACGGTATTATAGTGATAGTGAGGATAGTGATGATGATAATTGGTATTATTCAGACAGTGATGAAGAACATTGGGATGAATATTCTTTTTCAGACGACGAGGAACTGATATTTCGTGAGAAGCTGATGAATCTCTTCATTCATTTGAAGTTAGAACAATCGAAAGGAACGGCAATACTCAAACTGTTGCGGACTCATCGATGCTTTCAAGATCTACCTGCGAATCACCGGACATTGGCTCAGTCTCCACGGAAAAAGCTTCACCTTCGTACAGTATTTCCAGGAGAATATTTACATCTTGGAATCGCCACACAGTTGAAGGATTATCTAACCCGTATTGCTTGTCCCATACCAGACAATCTTGATATAGATATTAGCACGGATGGTGCGAATATGGACCATCAGGGTACCATTAATATGTGGCCTCTCCAGATACGAGTTGCGAACATAGAAAAATCCACGCCCATTATTGTTGGAATTTACTGTGGAACGAAAAAACCGGCGTCTGCGCGATATTTTTTTGCTGATTTCGTTGTCGAGTGGAAAAAAATTAAAGAAGAAGGAGGAATTTAAGTCGGTATCAAAACCATAAAGTTGTCTATCCGATGTATAATTGCTGATGCACCAGCTAGAGCTGTTCTTCTGAACCACGTAGGGCACACTGCCCATAACAATTCTTCGAAATGTAAAAGAGCCGGGACTCTACGAACAGATGCCGATTATGCTGCTATGATAGATGAAAGATGATAGATGAAAGATGATCATGGTCCAAGTTTTCTGACAAAACTAGGAATTGGGTTGGTATCGCAAGTACCTTTTGAGTGGATNGAACCACGTAGGGCACACTGCCCATAACAATTCTTCGAAATGTAAAAGAGCCGGGACTCTACGAACAGATGCCGATTATGCTGCTATGATAGATGAAAGATGATAGATGAAAGATGATCATGGTCCAAGTTTTCTGACAAAACTAGGAATTGGGTTGGTATCGCAAGTACCTTTTGAGTGGATGCACTTGTCTTTGTTGGAATCAGTCAAGCGCCAGATAAAGGCAACAGTCACCTTCAATCGACGCTTCGAGGCTTACGTTAGGCTTGACAATACACGCATCGATATAATAAATAAGCGAATGCGCCTTATAAGTGAGTATACACCCCGGGAATTCTTAAGACGACCCACTGATATTACACAATACCATCGTATGAAAGCCACAGAATTACGCCAATTAATTTTATATATTGGACCTGTGATAAACTACGGGGTTTATGAAAAAAATACTTTTGATCATTATTTGATGTACCATATCGCGCTACGTATCCTGGCGTCTAAGGAACCTGAACGTCAATCTTTATCTTTTTCACTGGATTTGCTGAAGGTCTGGGTAGAAGGATTCGCAAATCCACCCAATTTGGGAGTTTCAAATGTTCAGAGGTCAACCTGGAATTACAGTATGTAGATTTGAGCGACGTTATTTTCAAATGCTATCGGACACCATAGTGGAATTTATGCACACACAATTTTAAAATAGGCAAAAATAATCTAATATTACTCATTCTCTCATTGCAAAAATGTTACAATTCCATTAAAATCAATAATGATATTAATATTATTCGTAACTTACTAATCATTATTACTGTTATGCGCATTTATGGAGCAAAATTATAGAAAAATCGAACACATCCGCTAGGGAAATCCATTAGATTTCTATATGACTTCTATCGAATAATTGAATTTATTTTCACGGATTCGCTAAAAAAAAATTCGCAGCTTTGATGGGCCTTTTTTCAATTGAAATGTGCAAATGAAAACATTTCATAGGGAAAACGATAGATTTTGTTTTTCTATAAAATTCATCCTGTTAGGATTGTTCCAATAGAAATTTCTTAGCATGAATTTTCGAGGGTTTTATTAAAAAACTTTTAATACGGAAAGAAAAATGCAAGAAAGTTTATGCCCATGAATTTCCATGGATTATATCTCAATCGACTAAATTTGATAGAAAAATTGAAACTTATTGAACATTTATGTTTCAAAAAACCATGCAAGGAAAGCCGAGGGATTGCCAATAGAATCGGCCAAGGAAATAAATGGATATGCGACAGAAGTCTATTGATTAAATCGATAGAGAACATTATCTCTCAATTTTTGAAAATACGGCATGATTGATCATTTATTATTCGAAAATCATTCAATTATTTGAGTATTGACTCAATAAAAAATAATCTGTCTTGACAAGAAGGGGAACTTTTTCGTCAATGGAGGCTTTTTCCTAATTCTGATAGAAACCCTAAAAAATAGAATAAGACCATGATGTAGACCAACTTATAGAGGATTAAAATACAAAACAAAAACATTTAGGATTGAATTTCATTTCTCCTGCTCGCGATCTGCCTTCCGGATCACGTCAATCGAGGAAAATCAAATAAACCTACTGCCATCTACTGGTCCATCGAAATTCACGGTAGAGTCATTTGCCGTGAATCTCTCAAAATAGGGTCTACCACCCCTTCCGAGTCATCGAGTCTGGCTCGTAAGAGAGGTCTAATGGGGCCCCATAAAAACCCGACCCTCCAAATTAATCCTCTTATTACTGTCGATGTACTGTCGACCGTTCTACTTAGTTACTGTTGACAGTGGCAGGACAGTGGGTCAGCAATTTCTGTCGACAGTGGCAAGGCAGCAGGCCAGATTTTGGCTATCTGGGTCAATTGGAATGAACAAAATACCTGCGAATAGACAATTGAAATCTGAATACATTTCGATTATGATTTACTGCAAGAAATATTTCAAATGTTTTATAAAAATTCTTGAAATTTCCATTTTTTCACTGACCGCACGTTATTATAATGTTAGTAGAGGGTTACCTTTCGGACCCTCGAAATTGCTGCCACAAGTGTACTCTTCTACGCCTTTCGGGGATGAGTGGCCTGCCTTTGAGTAAATTTTGGGGTCGGTGGGGCGACCATCCGGCTATGGAAATGTATTTTTCGGAAATACAACATTTTCTACGAGTCAAATAGAAAAACCAATAAGTTATGTCAATACTCGTTTTAAATTTTTCCCAAAATCAATAAGTTATGAATATTTTGCTCAAGGCCCAGGGTTGCCGTAGCCGGCTCTGGAGAAGGTAGCAAATTGCATATATAGAAAGGATTTTCTGGATCCAAGAGGAAACACTGACGTAAAATGGTGAAGAAATGCGGCTAGCGTAACAATATCTTTTTCCGGAAAATTTCAACACTTTTTATGAATTTTTCAGCGGGTCTATTGTTATGAATATTATACAAAAGTATCAAATATTCCATTGTCTGTGAATTGCAGTTTTTCTTATTCCGAGTGGTTTTTTTTATTGGAGATAGCCGCATGAGATATTTTCATTTCAAAATCCAAAAATTGTTCAAAAAATCGAATTTTTGTTTAACAATTCCATTCTTGAGCAAGTGGGCTGATATATAAAAAATTGGGATGATTTAAAAAAAATTGGGTTTCTGGGGCTCGGTGAAAGTTCATTAATTTTCACGGCACATGAAAAACATGATTTTTTTCATGTTCTTATCATAATAGTGCAGAAACTATTGAATTTAAAAAACGGAACTTCTTATTGAAGTAAAGTAATATTCAACGTTCCGAATGAAATTGGCTCCATAGTCGTGCGATTTTTTTCCGTGAAGATAGAAGCCTATAAATTTTACGGACTACACTTTTGAAAAGGATAGTAGTATCGGGCGAGGGAGCCTATTCCTGACACGGCATCGTTCATTCTTACCCATGCGGTTTATAAGCGTTATACAGGTCGTATACGACCCGCACGACCATTTCTCATTCGACAATAGGCTGTCTGTATCTGATCATATAATTCCGAGAGATAGTGTGCGTACGTTACATCTCCTCTTATTACTTCGATATTCAATTTGGGTTACTAGGCGAGAATTGTAACCAAAACCACTACATATACGTGCACATCTAGTTTCTGATTTATTTCTGTTTTTATACTGAGAACTCTGATGCAAAGCAATATTGACCGTCGATAGTGACGTAATTTCGCAGATTTTCGACAATGCCCTTTATTCACAATATATTATAAAGATAACTGGATTAAACATAACTTTGATATGGTCGCAGTGACTCCTCCTGAATTATTTCCGAATTATCATTAATAATTATTCCCATTGCCCTCTCATCTTTTCTAGAGAGAAATTAACAAAGGTTCAATTTTTCAATAGTTAGGAGGTAAATCTAAAGATCAGTCTTCGATAATTCCTAGTCATTCGCTCACACTTCAGGAAGGGGTATAGACTTGTCTGAAATATCTTGAAAAATTGTAGAAAACACTAGAATTTTAGATTGCAATTTTAAAACGTTCCAAGATTTTTTCGGGCAATTAATAGCTCAACTAGAGTGCAGCAATATCTTCTGTGAGCTAAATGCACACAATATACCCAAAATCGTTAAAAAAAAATCTATCATCTCCTTTGAATCCTTCATTTAATTCTCCAGAATAGTTATACAACGTGTATTCTTCTTCCTAAATAACCAACAATATTTTCACCTCCAGGTCTCCAGAAGTGGACAGTACCACGTGGTGGTTACTACACCCTAATTGCTGCGGGTGCCCGTGGTGGCCGTGGCTCAGGTGGAATGGGAAGCACCCTAGGAGCTCTGGCCCGTGGCGTAATGGAATTAGAGAAAGGTCAAACCCTCTACTTTCTCGTGGGCCAGCCGGGGGCTGATGCATGTACCAAGAGTCTCGGAAAGCAGAATCCCTGCACATCTCCCACCGACGGCAATGAACCCCCTTCCACAGGGATGAGCTCGTTCATTCGGGAAGTTAAAAAAATAAAATTGACCCACGGCGGTGGTGGTGGCGGTGGAGGAACATTCATCTTTACTATCAAATCCTCTGGTGAGCTGCAACCCATTTTAATAGCAGCGGGTGGTGGTGGTCTAGGATTTGGAAAATTCACAGACGATGGTATCCAGCATGGCCACCCTCCTTCCACCGAAACGATTCAAATCTTTGGGTTCGCCCCGACCGAAAAAGCAGGTGGAGCTGGCGGGGGTTGGAATAGCTCATCAACGAATGACATAGGATCTCTGGCAGTTGGTAAACCATTGATGAAGGGAGGACTGGGTGGCAAAGGCTGCCACGAACGTAATAATTCTCTTGGGTTCGGCGATGGTGGTTTCGGGGGGGGTGGCGGCGGTTGTAGAACTGGTGGAGGAGGCGGTGGATACCTGGGAGGGACCACTGGAATTAAAAGCTCCGCAAATGGAGAAGGGGGATACAGCTATGGATCTTCTGAGCTGATTCACGTGTATTTCAAGGGCGGTTTCAACCCTGGACCCGGGGAGATCTTCATTATTCCGGCAATCAGTGGGTGTGGATGTGATTTTCGTTGCGTGGCTATTAATCGACACTTGAGTGACACCAGATGCCTCTGCCCACCTGGATGGCAACTGGGGAACGATTCCAGGTCTTGTTTGGCTGACGAAGTAGACAGTGCACATCAAACGTTCATGATTATCTTAGTTGCTGCATGTTTGTCCATGTTCTTCGCCTTTTCTGGGCTATGTCTGATACTTTATAATCGGTACCAGAATAGAAAGGCTTTGCAGGAACGTCGACAAAACATGTTTGGGAATGGTACAGAACTGGCTGCTTTGCAGACACTTACGACTGAGAACATGATGACCGAGTTCAATCCGAATTATGAGTTCGCTGGAAATTTGTATAGTATCAAGGATTTACCACAGATTCCGCGGGAGAGCATCACGTGCGTCAAGCCCTTAGGTCAGGGAGCCTTCGGGGAAGTATTCCAAGGGGTTTATAAGTTCAGGAGAAATGAGGAAGCGCCTATTGCTGTGAAGACACTGCCGACGGTGACGACTTCACAGGCTGCTGCCGATTTCATGATGGAGGCTCTCATTATGAGCAAGTTCGATCATCCGAATATTGTCAAGTTTATTGGGATTTCTTTTGATAAAAACCCGAGATACATTGTATTGGAACTGTTGGCTGGAGGTGATTTGAAGAACTTTTTGAGGGAGGAGAGACCGAGGCCGGATAGAGCGACTAACTTGACGATGAGAGATCTCGTGATTTGTGCTCATGATGTGGCAAGCGGGTGCAACTATATGGAAGACGCCAGGTTTATACATCGAGATATTGCGGCGAGAAACTGTTTACTGACCTGTAAGGGTCCTGGGAGGGTCGTGAAGATTGCGGATTTTGGAATGGCGAGAGATATCTATCGGAGCGATTATTATAGGAAAGGTGGGAAAGCCATGTTACCAATCAAGTGGATGCCACCTGAAAGCTTTTTAGATGGAATATTCAGTACAAAGACCGATGTTTGGTGAGTTATTACAACTTTCTAAGCATGTATCTTTATCATACATTGCTAAAATTGAGTATTGAATGACTGAAATAAGTCATTTCATAGATAATTTCACATGTACTTTTATGAATTTCATAAATGTCCCTAGAAGGTGAGGTGAGTCGTAAGTGTAATGTGACATTTTCGTATGGGGGTCAAAAATGTCTATTACCTTCGCCCTTCTTCCCCTTCATCTAGTTGAACTCAAAATGCAAAAAAATCCATGGGTGCCAGGTAATTTTTAACCGGAATTTCCAAACCGGAGGAATCCACAAAATCAACTCTACTAAGTCGAAAAACTCTAAAACGTACAAAAAAAAGGAAAACTAGATTTTTGGGGAAAGGTAACGGTCCCTGGTTCACTCAGTGTGCTAGGTTGTGGAGAGAGGGGTGGATTTCAGGTGGAGACGGGTATTGGGTGGTCAAAACTACAAAAAAGAGAAGAAATCGACATTGTCCTTACTTGCTTCACTATTGAAATTAGTCAAAATTAAGAATTTACATTTGTACATAGTGGATTTACCACAAAAAAAAGAAAAGATTGATAATAATAAGCAGCAATTTTCTAACGAACGCAATATAATGAATTGACTCGAACTAGCTGATTCTGACAATAATACATTTTTGCTTAATTGGGCTTCAAAATGAGGTCATAAATTCCTCAAGAATAATATAATAGTATTTACTAATCCCGAAATACTCGAGAATTCCGAGAACTGGGGGGGGGAAGATATACGGATTCCCCGTGAGAGTGAGAGAGCGAGACAATAAACCCACCCGTGCACGTATAACGTACGGCGGGAGGAAGCAAAAATTCCCTAAAACTAAACTCGCCGTAGCGAAAAATCGGCAGAGTAAAATCCGAATAACCCAGAGCCCTCGTGTTCGGGAAAGTCTAGAGAAGCCAATGAAACCAAAATCAAAATTTTGGGATCATTGGGAGCCACTCCAGATTGAGTTGTATCCGGAGGGAAATTTAAACGGAGGAACGCTTACGGGAAGCGATAGCCACCACTGGTAGCCGCGTAGGGGGTTATCGCGAGGGGAAAAACTCTACGCAATGTGTACGTAGGGAAGAATAGGAATGCTCCTCGCCATAGGAGCGAGAGAGAAGAAAATAGCCCACGTCGAAAATCGTACGATTTCGACTGGAAAACCACACAGGAACTTCATTACTAAATAGACACACTCAATGAACTCGTAAATCATCTTAAAGGTGATTGGAATAATCCGGAGTGAGGGGAAAAACCCGGAGCCGACCCAATTTGGGTGGAATATCCGATCAAAAATCGGAGAGACCCATGGATAAATTCCGGGATAAGGGTTAATAACACATCCGAACCCATAAATCCGATAAAAGGGGGGTGAACCACCACTGCGCGTGGCTGAAGGCCACGCGAGGGATACCGCCACGAAGGGGAAAAACCGACGCCATTATCAATGGCCCGGATAAATGCAATTTCCACCGTAAAAAGTCACGATCTTCCTTGTTTAGAGGTCCTCTTCCCTTTCCGGACCATCCTGGATCGGTACGGCTTCTCCAAAATGTTCAGTAATCCACGTGGCACAATTACGTTGCGTGGACACACTCAAAATTCGCACGTGACTAATGGTCGACGACGGTCAACGCGGAACTAACTGCCCTGGGTCAGTGTCACGGGCACTAACCGCAGCGCAAATTCTGGCCAACAGAGACGGGCTCTGATTAGCGGAGATTTTCGGCACATCAAGCGTTGGCTTCGTTGGCGCCACCAAATGCTTTTGGGGAATTCAAACGCGACAAATACTCAACTCTAATTTCTCTATACGTAACTTTATAAAATTGACTGATGATTAACCTGGGCCGAACTGGTGGGCGTTCGGAAAATTACTAAGGGTTTTTGGCGCCTCCTACGGGTCGGTTCTCCTGGATTCACGGGGTTAAAAGATCGATACTACTAACTAATTCTCCTAATTTTTCAAAACTCTAAGCAACCTGGCAATTCACGGGATAAAAGGGTTGCACTTGTTCCCCGTGTCCTTCCACCGAAAATCTAAAACGTAACCATCTAACCACCGTAAAATCCATTATAATTTGGAGCGCCGGCATTTCAGCCGGACCTAATCGATTTGCCGTAGGATTAACAATAATAGGGTGGCTCCCATAAGAATTATCGAATGACTCATAACTTGGCCCTTCTTCGCGATAATTCCATTGGTCCTCAAAAACGCGGNAATCTATCGATAAAATAAAATGTTTGTTAAATGAAAAGAAAGTCAAAATAACTCAAAAGATTGTCACAAGATAAAGTCACTAGCAGAGTTACCGATAAGTCAATTATCACAGAAAAGGAATCTACAATTATTCCGAGAAATGAACGCCACAACAAAAGGCGGAATAAATAAGAAACTCTGACTTCAGTCAACGAGGGTTGGGATTGCCTCGAGAGACAATAATAACGATAATAACTCGCAACCCAAACACAAGGTCACACGACAATGAAAACTCGAGCGTCGACAAACGACGCTACAATCCCAACTCTANTTTTGATGGCAGCATCGTGTCCTAACGAACATCCCCACATATTCGTTACATAAGGAATGCTCTTTGCGTAATTTCATGAAAATTTCATAGGTAATTTCATAGGTAATTTTATAGGTAATTTCTCATATAATTTAATAATTTTTTTTTTTCAATTTATGAAATTGTATATTATAAATATGCAGAACAAATCGAATCGCGGGCTTCAGTGGATTTTTTTCCTTGTTGGAATTCGTAGAGAATACAGTGCCGAATGTGCTGCGTATCGGTCGCCAGCGTATATACTCATGTTTCGTGAAGTTATACAGCTCTTCTAGGCATGACTTGAAGTGTATTAAAAACTGTAAGGTTCACTCTTCAAAGTCGCAAACGGGCGTGTAGCTATTTAAATTTTAAATAAGATGCCGCAGTCAATGAAAAAAAGGGAAAGATTAAGTTTGTGACGTATTTGGCACCTCTGCAGAACGGTATGAGAATACGCAGCCCTTGGTGACCGAATCTTAAAACCAAAATTCGAGCCAGTACGTTTTCTCTCAAAACGCATAAAAAACGAAATCCGTAATCCACAAGATAGACCAACGAACGAACAGCTCCCGACAGCTCAATATATCATCCGCGGAGGCGGCTGGGTTCCACCAAAAATGTCGTCGACGAAAATCCTGAAATGACTGGGTTTCAAACTTATCTACCAAAATAACGAAATCAGAATTTACGGGGATAAAATAATTTTTAATAAATGAACTAAACGACAAAAATTATTTACATTAAAATATTCAATAAAACCCCTTTCTCATTCTTCAATTATTTCACTCAGATCTCGGTAATCAAAATCACAACAAATAAATAATTTGATAACAAAGCTAATGATTGAATGCAAAACAAATTCCCTAACTGTAATCTATCGATAAAATAAAATGTTTGTTAAATGAAAAGAAAGTCAAAATAACTCAAAAGATTGTCACAAGATAAAGTCACTAGCAGAGTTACCGATAAGTCAATTATCACAGAAAAGGAATCTACAATTATTCCGAGAAATGAACGCCACAACAAAAGGCGGAATAAATAAGAAACTCTGACTTCAGTCAACGAGGGTTGGGATTGCCTCGAGAGACAATAATAACGATAATAACTCGCAACCCAAACACAAGGTCACACGACAATGAAAACTCGAGCGTCGACAAACGACGCTACAATCCCAACTCTATTTTCTCAGAAATGACCACGATGTCGAATACTAAATGATAAAATTCGATGAATGTTTCGAACATCGATAAATCCGGAATATTTCCAAATAAATATAAATTCAATAAGATGTCGAGAAATCCGCATCCGATCCTCGACAAATAGCGAAACGAGAGTCAAAATTCTAAATTTAATAATCACTGAATTTAATTTAATCAAATCGAAATTATCCCAATCAAGGGACGACAAACAATTCATCAAACCGAATATTAATTTGCCAAAAAGGAAAACAACAAATAAATCTATCGGACACGAGAAAAAATAATTATTACCCTACCGAATAAATAGCGAGATCTCGAAACGAGAAATGACTCGACTCGATAATGGCATCACAATTCGCCAGACGCCAAGCGTCCCAAAATTTACGACAAAGAAAACCCAAAATCATAACCTCGCTAGATATCGTTACAAAGAACTCGCTGGAGATTTCACACTGCTCACCGTGATTTCCAAAACTCGAAATAATTCAGCACAGGCGCCAGTATGTCGTTAATCCCCTGGAGAAGTAAAATTTCCAAACTCCGATAAATCACGTTAAATTTTACTCAATAGTCCAAAACTCAACAGATCTCGATGCCGTCCAAACGAGAAGTATCGTTAACAGCGTACTCACCAACGCAACAGCTTCTCCTCCAACGAACCAATCCTCTCATTGGCTCGGAGACGCTCGATGGCCGTCACTGTTTGGTTAATACAATCCAACCTAACCAAACCCAAAGAAACACGTGCCTCAATTCACGTTTATTATACCATGAATCCTCCATAATTCCTGCAGAATTTATCCCGGAAAAATCATCCAATGATTTTTCCCCAATCCACAACATTTTGGGTAATATTACCTTGGACGGCCACTAATAGAGTGGTTGTAAATGCATGTTTTTTTGAAGGTTGTTTAATGTTATTCTGTTTCTATTTTGTTATTTAAGTCATCTTTATTGATATTTCAATGAATTTACTCCCGGCCACCGCACTCAGTCATGCTTCCAGGACCGTGACGTGGACACGGCGGGGCATTGGTCCCAAAAATGTTTGGGAGTTAGTGCAATAGCTTGCCAATAACCCCAAATTGCAATGAGACCCACCCTCGTGTAAGATGTATTTAGAACCTCAGTAGTGTAACAATTTTTTGATGAGATTATTTCGTAAACACCTCCTCCGTCCTTCTAACGGTAAAATTTAAATTAATTAAATTTGTTGGAAGGGAACATTTATTTAA